GTAACAGTTGCTCAACTTCAGAGAGTACTTCAAAATATGATGAAGTGTTGAAAAGTGGAGAGTTGTCAATAGAAGCTATTGCTAACAGTTGTTTTAAATTAATTAAAAATACTGATTTTGGTGTTCCAGTTTTTGTTCAGAGAATTTGAGTTATTACTGTTATTAGAGAGAGTCTGAGCCAGGAGGATTGCCTAGACAAATGACAACATTAAAGGAAGTCAAATGAAATTCCACACATCAAGAGAGTTGCACAGGCAATGAAAACAACTTTTACTTTATATGACATATTTTAAGTAGTAGTATAGGGATGATGGGGAAAAGGAAGGAGAATTGATTGCTGCAAACCTAGCCAGAACCTGCTCTTGCTCAAGATTCTGCACCATCAGTGGCTGTATGAGAGTTTTTCTGACCCACCCTCCTGCTCCACTCTGCTATTGATTCATTCAACAAAAATATATTGAGTGCCTACTATGTGTCAGGCACTAATGTGGATATTGGAGATATAGCAGTAAACAATAACTCTTGCCCTGCTGGAACTTGTAGGGTTCAGCATACTCTTGCTCATGGGGAAAATATCACCTGTTACCTGATTTAGTAAATTCAGTTTAACTGAAATGTAACCATGCTCATTCTTTTATGTATCATCTATGATTGCTTTTGTATATTATCAGCAAAATCAAGTGGTTGAGTCTGAGACTGACCCACAAAGCCTAAAATACTTACCATTTGGTTCTTTACCAAAAAAGGTTGCCAGCCCTTATTCTAGCTGGAGACAATCTTTAAAAAAAAAAATAGGTAAATACATAATATCAATTAGTATACAAGACATAAAGAAAAATTAAACAAAGGAAGCAGAGAGTCGGGAGGAAGGAACTTATCACTTCAAATATGACACTTGCTGAGTAAGGGGCTTTAGTTCCAACATGTGAAGAAGGTAAGCAAGTGACTGATAATATTTGGGTTGTGTATAGCATCGTGGACTATCATAAGGAGTTATAATGCGTGAGATGGAGATTCTTGAGTAGTTTTGAGCAGAGAAGTGTCATGATCCGATTTTTGTGTTGGAAAGACTAATTTGGTCTTCAAATCAATAGGAAAATGAGGATTTGAGAGGGTCTTTCAGGATAGAAGCAAGAAGACTTGAAGACTATAATCTAGAAAATAGATCACTGTGACTTAAACAGGTAATAAAAAGTAGTCTGATTCTACCTATACTTTTAGGTAGAACCAAAAACATTTGCTAATAAAAGACATGTAGGGTTTTTGAGAAAGAAATGATTCCAAGGTCTCCTGCCTAGGCAACTGGAAGAACCAAGTTACTATTGAGATTTGGAAAGATGGGGAAGGCTGTGCTCCATTTGATGAGTAAAACAGTTTGTGGAGGTGGGGGGAATGGATACAGAGGGAATTCAAAGTTCAGTTTTGGATGTTATGCTTAAGAGACCAATTAGTCATCCAAGTTGATAGCTCAAGCAAACAGTTGGCTATAAACGTATGGAGGAGACCAGGCTAGAGATAAAGATTTGGGGGGTCAACACCATACAGATGATTTAAGCCTTAAAAATGGAAGCATCAAAAAGAAGATGGAGAAAAGAAGGGATCAAGGCTTTAGACCTTTATCTTTAATTTTATATTCATTCCATGACAAAAATCTTAGAAATTCTCATCTTATGTCTCTAAATAACTTTTCATTTTCATTCCCACTAGCACCACCTTACTTCAGGATCTTGATCTGTCTTAGCTGGCCTTTTTCAATAATCTTCTAATTGGCTTCCTTCACTCTAAATGTCAACTTGAATGTCACCATCTCATCTGCCCCTCCCTTCCAAAGAATTCTTTCTACTCCTGGTCTTCCTTCCCATCTAAAAGAATGACATTATTATCAACACCTCTTTGTTCAAGGTTGAAACCTGCCTCCTCCATTTCTTCTACTTTCCACATACAATCCTTTACCAAACACTACCAGTTTTATCCTCAAAATATAATTCAATGCCGCCCTTTTTTCTGTCTCTTTTACCACCATTATTGTCTAAGACACCAGAATCTACTATATGGACAGTTGCAATGGTTTCTTACCTACTTTCCTTCCCTCCAGTCTATTATTCACCCTGATGTTGGTGAGATCATTCTAAAAGAACATCTGGACTTCCATTATCTATTTTGCAGGTGTACAGAATGAAACTCAAAAACCATTCATCACTTGGCCATAATGTTCCTTTCCAATGGTATCTGTAATGGTTCTTCTAGAAATGCCTTCCATTTCAGCCCTGTGGCCTTATCAGTGATTTGCAGAACCACAATGACCACATTGAAACACAATATCTTAGTGCAGGCCCTCCCAAGGATATTAAATTTGTTTGAGGTTACAGATCCTTTCCTTTGGTCTCAACTGACCAAGAGACAACAGTGAAGTTATGACACATAGGTCAATGGCTTTTGGACTGAAGCTGTTTCTTACAATTACCCCAAGGTGTTTACCAAATTTTATGCTTTTCCCAGTGTGCCATGATAAATGTTGGGAAGCACTGCCTTAGTTCACACAATTTCCCCCTTTCTCCATTCTTTCTCTAAGTTCTAAGTATCCATCCATGCCAGGCTCAAAGCTCACTTTCTTGCTCAAGCTATCTTTGATGCAACACCTCCAAACTCAAAATCCTGTATCACCTGAAGAGACCACACATCTGGCATTTAATATACATAACTGCATTGTTACTCAGCTTTCTTTGGCAACATCTTATCTAGTTGTATTGTTAGCACCTTAAGAGCCAGGATTTTTATACATCTTCCTTCCCATCCAGTGCCTTAGCATACATTAGGCACTTAATATATTGTGTAATATGAATGATTGGATGGATAGATGAATGAATGAATTTGTAAAAGCCATCAGGTGGCACAATGGAAAAGAATGTTGGATTAGGAGTCAGAGAACCTGGATTCTAGTCTACTTTGCTATTGAATCAGGGACAGACAGGGCAACAAGGCGGAAGGCCAGATGGAAAGAAGGAATGGCCACCCACCTGCCCTGGCTCTGAGACAAGAGAGCTGCCAAAATTCGAAAAGGCTAAAAAACAAAACCAAGGCCTATAGCAATATAATACCCACACAATAGTGGCATATGGGTTATTGCCAAACAAAGGACAGTGCCTGGTTAAAGCTCCTGTGATTGTAGGTTCTCACCCCCATGCACAATTGCAAGAGACCTCAAGCTCCAGGAACAACAACCGTGGGGTTTATTTTACAATCTGGGAAACAAAGAGCTTACTGTATCTACGCGCGGCAGCTACCTCACCCAGATAGTGTCAGTGATGGTCGCCACTAATCACCACAAGTACTTGACAGTAACAGCCAATATTGATGGTCTTTATTGGTCCCACAGAGGTGGTGTCAAAGACACCTGGTGTCACCAGCTCTTTGTGAGTTATTTGGGCTATACAATAGCAAAGAGCTCTTTGAGGTAACAGGCCCTAGGGCCTTTAGTACTCCCTCTAGACAAAGTTAGAAGCAGGACCAGAGGCCCAGTCTTCAGTTTTTCTTTCCTTCCCAGAGGTTGGCTTCCGAATGCTTCTTCTTTCTTTGGCTGCCAAGAACAGTCTTCCTCTTCATTCTTCTTCCTTTGGAGGCTGAAACTATCTTCTTCCTTTCTTTGGAGGCTGGAACCATCTGTCCTACTCAGATGTTGGTATCATCTCTTCTGTTCGGGGACTGGCATTATCTCTCCTGTTCTAGGGCTGGTGTAGTCTCTCTTTAGCTCCCTCCCACCCTGGCCTATATCTTCTTTCAGGGTGTCAGACCCACAATGGTCTTATTGGACCATTTTCCAATCCTGTAACTGATTGGACCATTTAGCACCAATCAACTCATAACTCGCATGTGATTGGCCCATTCTGCAATCCAGGAAGTACACTGTTACATAAAAGGTCTCTGAGGACCAACTGCCCCAATGGACAAAAGAGCAGTTACTGGGATCTGGGGAGCAGCTGACTTGTGGAGCCACAGGGTGAAAGAACACCTACTACTGCTGGCTCCCACAGCTGAGGCAGCTGGGTTCCAGTGACACTACTAGATGACTTTGAGATATTAGGCACTAGCTTCCTCATTCACAGAATAGATACAATACTTTCCATCCTCACTTCTAATTTGAGATGAGATAACTTACCTCAAAGCTATTTGACAAGTGAGAAGAGCATGTTGTTCAAGAGTAATGCTAACAGAGATAGTGTGGAAGATGAAAATCATGGATACTGCACAAAACTTTGGGTGAAAGAAAACCCAAAGGGTAGAGAAAATTTGCTGGTAAAATGGACATGCCCAGGAGTGACTGAAAAAGTATGGTGGGCACAAGAATTAAAAAAAAAAAAATCAGGTTTTGTTGCTGGGGCTTAAATATAATATAGCCATTAGATCCTAACTGCTTAGGTTCAAATCCTGGCTCTGGCAATAACCAGCTGTGTGAAGTTGGACAAGTTATTAATGCTTCTGAATTTTAGTTTTGTTTTCTATCATATGGGGATAATAATAGTACAAATGTCAGGGAGTTGTAAGACTTAATGAGTTAATGTCTAAGATATGCTTAAAGCAGTACGGATCCGTGTCTGGCATACAAAGCACTGTAGAAAGGCGTGTTAGGTAAAACAATGGTTTGCTCTCTCATTGTCAAGCACAACATCAACCCCAAGGACTGGGAACTCCTCTCTGAGCAGAGCAGGGCTCACAGAAGCTCTGAGTTGCTCTCTAGTATATATATCTGCTTTCCCAGGGTCCAGAGCCCAGTCCTCTAAGCCTGAGCTATCTCCTTGTTCATAGAACCTTGGCACGTTTACTATGTTTCTAGCCCACAAATATTTTTCTGCATTTTTCAATCTTTATTCAACAGAGTTTATTGTAAGGACAGATTGGAGTGGGTTCCATGAGCTGCCAAATGCATATTGAATCAGAATAACCTCATCTTTAAGAATAATGACACTGGCTTTCATCACAACAGCTACTGAAAAGCAATAATCATGTCTCTGCACTACCCAATGGCTGTGGACACCAACAGAGGTCACAAGGTGACCAGTCACATGAGCAAGCCAAGCACAGCTTACCACGGGAAGCCCAAGTTCATATGGGACATGGTCCACGAGATATGTAGCTTTGCCCCATGTGAGCAGCATGCCATGAGCTGCTCATATCTTAAAGGACAAGTGGACACTCCAGTTCTTCAAGAAAAAGGTGGGGACACACACCTGCTCCAAGAGGAAGAAAGAGGAGCAAAGCAAGGTCTGGGCACCACAAAGTCTGCCACTAAGAAGAACTGAGCCTCCTACTCCCACCTTGCATATGCCAAATTTCTCCAGGAATCAAGGTTCTACAAGTGATCAACTGCTTGATTTGTATCTTTCTGAATCTTAATTTGCTCATCTGTAAAATGAGGACTTACAGGTGGCTGCACAACCAAATGAGATAATGGACATGAAATATTCCGTTCTGGGCCAGGTACATGGTAAGCACTCAAAAAGCATTAATATTTATCATTAATAATTCCTAGTATTATGGGCCTTGATTTTCCCAGTTGTAGAATGCAGCTTAATAGCACTATAGCTGCCACACACTATTGCTTTGCCATCCCACTTTGCCCCTTCCAGGCACAAAAATTACCCCCAGAATATTCTTGGAGCCAATAAGTTGAACACATGCTCTGCATTGTATACTTCACTTACGGTTTATGCCCAGTTCAAAAGGATAGGGAGAAATTACCAGCAAATCCAAGCACTGTATAGATTTCAGCATGACTGCAAATGCCTCAGGGAGTAAGGGGCTCTCAGCCTAGGGTGGACATCAAAGTCACCACTTTTTATTTTTAATTTCATTAAATATATTCTTTTAAAAGAATACCCCTCCCCCCCGCCATATCTCAATGTTCACACTTGCATTTACCGAAGAAGCAATCCTGTTGAAAAGGAATCTCCAGTGGGGAGACAGTTGGTCTCCTGTTTTGAAAAAAAAAAAAAAAAGCATATTTTGAAAAAGTTGTCCAACAGTGTCTGTTGAACACCTCTGCTCTGGGAAAGGGATAGGAAAGTAAGTTTGAGGGAAGACACCAGGGCCTCCCTTTTTAAAGAAATCCAGGAAGAGCAGGTTTAACCACTTTTGCCTCCCACACAAAATGGTTATGTAGAAACATGCCCTGCACCCACTGGCGAGAGTGTGTTGTTTTTTTCCTCCCAGCCTTTATCTTGAAGGACTTCTCTCCAAGAGTTATACAAGCATCATATTTGTCGCACCAATTGTGCTCAGTGAGAACACAAATTTGTCCTATACCTAAAAAATGCACTTGTATTTAATGAGTGGCCCAAATATATGTCAGGCCTAAAGATCAGATACCATTTAATGTCTGAAGCAAAGAAGAATGATTACCAAATAATTTAATTATTTTTGGTTTGCACATCTGTTCCCAAAGCTAATTGTTTGCTGCCAAAACTATTTGGCCTTGATTATGATCATTAATGAATGTGCTTGCATTTCAAATCAAGGACTCAGTCTCTCAAGTGGCTTTAATCAAATTGAGTAAAAACGTAGTTTTAAAATAAAAGTGTAAAACAAAAAGACAGCATAAAGATCGCAATTTATGGAGTTGTTTGTTATCCCTTGATGTATTGTCAACTTCATAAATTGTTATTTATAGTTTGAAATATAATTGATTTAATAATAAAGACTTTTGAAACACAATACTTCAAGAAGAAATGTTAAGTTCATTGTGCTATTGATTTCAGTATAAGAATGCAAAATGTCTAGTGTACTTAGGCATATAGATTCAAAATCACATACAACTGATTTTGATCTCCTTCCAACCTCATGGCCACTATGTGGTCTTGGGCAAGTTACTTCACTTCTCTGAGTTTCAGGTTTCATGTCTGCAAAATAGGGATAATAATATCACCTATGTCAAAATGCTGATGGGAAGATTAAATAAGATAATGTATCTAAGCATTTTTAAACACTGTCTGGCACGTAGTGTATAATGCGTGTTGTGAGATTTTGGTATCATTTTTGCTAGGATGTAGGTTTCATGGTGCAATTTTTTTCTCATCTTCACTTTCAGAGTCTGAGTGCCTAACATAGTGAGTTCTCAATAAATTTTTGTTGGGAAAAATAATTGATATGCCAGTAAAATGAAGGTCGAGGGAAGCTGCTGACTGATCATGCCACTGCTGCTAATCACACTTGGCAGCTGTTCAAGTACCCCAAAGCAACATTTTGTAAGCAACTTTATTGAGATAGAATTTTCACATTTAAAGTATACAGTTAAATAGCATTTTGTATCCTCACAAAGCTGTGCAACCCATCACCACAATCAATTTCACTACAGTATTGTCACTCCAAAAAGAAATTACATTCTCATTAAGAGTTACTCACTATTAAGGTACAACCCCTTCTCCCCAACCATCGATTATTTTCTGATTTTATGAGTTTGTCTATTATGGACATTTCTTATAAATAGACTCATGCAGCGAGTGGTCCTCAAGGTCCAATCTTGTTATAGCATGTATTAGCATTTCATTCATTTTCATGGGTGGAAGATATTCTATTTTACAGCTATAATACATTTGTCTATCCATTTATCAATTTATGGTATTTGGGGTTATTGCTGCTTATGAATTATTGCATAACAAACATTCACATGTGAGTTGTCATGTGTACCTATGTTTTCAGTTTTCTTGATAGATTATATGGTAATTTTATGTTTAACTTTTTTGAGGAAATGCCATACTAACTTAGTACACCATTGTACATCCCATCAGAAGTATATGAGGTTTCCAATTTCTCCACATCCTTGCCAATATTTGTTAGTGTTGATTATAACCACCCTAGTATGAAGTAGTATCTCATTGTGGCTTTGGTTCGCATTTCCCTAATGACTAATTATGCTGACAACATTTTCATGTGATGATGTTATTTGTGTATCTTCTTTGTAAAGATATGCATTCAGATCTTTTGCTTTGCCAGTTTTCAATTTTGTTCTTTGTCTTTTTAATTATTGAGTTTTAAGAGTTCTTATATACTCTGGACAAAAGTCACTTATCAGATGTGTGGTTTATAAATGTTTTCTTCTTTTCTACTCTGAGTTTTCTTTACAGTTCCATGGATTAACAAAAGTTTTCAATTTTGATGTAGTAAATATACAATTTTTTCCTTTGGATGATTATGTGTTTGGTGTCATATTTAAGAACAATTGCCTTACGTACAATATGAAGGTTTACATCTATTTAAGAGTTCCAACAGATTAGCTCTTATGTCTGGATCATTAATCCATCCTGAATTATTTTTTGTAACTGAATTTTGTATGTCATGTGAGACAGATATCCAAGCTCACTTTTTTGTATGTGGACAAGCAATTGTCAAATTATAATTTGTTGAAAATACTCTTCCTTCTTCATTGAAATGACTTGCCACTCTTCTTGAATATCAACAAAACATAAATGTAAGGGTTCACTTTTGAACTCTTAAGTTCTACTCCTCCAATGTGTATGTGTGTCTTTATGCAGATATCACATTGATTGCTAATTTTTATTAAGTTTGTTAAGTTTTGAGATTGGAAAGTGTATATTCTAATGGGACACTTTTTCAAGATTCTTTGGCTATTGTAGGTTACTTATACTTTTGTATAAATATTAGGATTGTCATATCAATTTTTGCAAAAAAACCAGCTGGGATTTTGATAAGAACTATGTTCAATCTATATAACAGGTCAGTATCTTAATAATGTTGTCTACTGATTCATGAAGATGAGATTTCTTCATAGTTATATTTTCTTTCAATGGTATTTTGTAGATTTTAGTGCATAAGTCTTATCTTTCTTTGGACTAACTATATTATTAGTCATTTTACTCATTATTGATGTTATAGGAATTGATAGAATTGTCACCTTAATTTCCATTTTAAGCTATTCATTGCTAATATATTGAAACCAACTTAATTTTGTATATTGGCCCTGCAACTTTGCTAAATTCCTTTATGAAATTTAATAGTTTTTTGTGAATCTTTTGGTTTTGCTACATATGAAACCAAGCTATCTGCAGATGAGATAATTTTGCTTCTTCGTTTCCAAACTGCTTGCCTTTTATTTCTAATTGCCCCGGTGAGAACTACTAGTATAATGTTGAATACAATTAGCGAGAACCGGTATCCCTGCCTTGTTCGTGATCTTAGGGTGAAAGCTTTCAGTTTTTTCTCTTCAGATATGGCACAAGTCTTCTGTTTCATAGTTCCCTAACAGGAAAACAACACCTTAAGGGACACTGTGTGGATTTCAACCCGAGAACTTTCACTTCAAAGGGAAGTGTTTTGAAATACAATCTACTGAGAATTGTACCAATACTTAATAATTAATTTGTAAACATAAGATAATAGGCTTTCTTTGAGCTGTGACTTCCTCTAGTGAAGTCTGGGTTCTTCTAATGCATCTCATCTCTTCCTTAACGTCCTTGATAGAAGGATGAAAATGGGAGGAGAGCACAGAGGACCCCTCTTACACATGATGCTGCAAGAAACAGTGGCATGTGTGACAGGCTGCAAGGATTCAAATCCTTTCTCTACCATTTACACAAATAACCTGTATGTATCTTGTTTCTGCATTCCATAAATGGGGGTGACAAATTTAATAATGATCATAAAAAATAATACCTAACTCATGGGGTTCTGTGATGTAAATAAGTTATTGTATATTAAAGTACTTAGAGCAGTTCCCGATGATATGGTAAACTTTACTTATATACTTGTAATTAAGCTACAGTGTCTATTAGCAAAAACATGAAGTTAAAAGCCAGAAAAATCTAAGTTGAAATTCTTGCACAGCTGTTGTTACTAGGTATGTAGCCTTAGGCAAATTGCTTCATCTCTTTGGAACTTAGTTTTTCCTTACAAATAAGAAACAGAATCTACCTTACAGGGTGATCAAAAGAAAGAAATTAAATCTTCCTGCCATTTACATAGTGCAGAAAAATTATTGAACAAAGTAAATACTTATTTTGCTTTACTAGGATTACTTGTTGCAAGCTCAGTAAGTTTCTTTCACTGAATTTCTGTTTATTTAATAGTTTAGATCTGGGCATGGTAAGAGCACATTTCATGGGGCAGGGGGGTTTTGGTTTACTAAGAAGAAATTGGTTTCTAAAGTTGCAAAAGTAATATATACTTGTAAAGAAATCGAATTTCACAAAAGTAAACAGTAAAAAGTAAATTCTGTTTTCACAGCTATTCTCCCATGTATTTCACTTTCTTTCCCAGAGATAGCAATGCCAATAGCTTGATGCATAAC